CCCTCCCCCTTTGAAGGCGTGCAAGTCGGGTGCTCCCCCCCACCCACCATCGCATGGGAGACGCGCGCATGTGTGCTTGTGCACGTGTGTGCGTGCGTGCGTGTGTGTGTGCGTGTGATCCCGCAGCACCCCAACCGAGTTTACAAACACAAAGTGGCAGCCAGCAAAGCGGGCACATTTGGGTTATTTGTTTACAAGCGCTCCATCCTCCTCCCCGCGGCAAGCGCGCGCTGGCAAACTGCGAGCGGTAAACAACGAGCTGTGTGATCCTCCCAGTTTGAGGCAGCAAACGGCCTCCCATTTTGTAGCTGCTCACCCCGAGCTATAAATGTCCTGATAGTGGCATTGTCTTTGCGGGACAACCAATGCATGTTCACCGTCCCTCGCCACGGTGGGGAGATGTTAACTACCTCGCCTGGTATGCAGGAGGTCAGGGGTTCGACCCCTACCCTGACGCGTGGTCACGTTGATTTTTCTCCGGGTCCTCCAGTTTTTCCCTCAAAATTTATAAACATTCTTGATTTGAAGCTTTCGTGACTGCAGGAATCCATACTCTTTGGTTTTTTCGGTAAAGTCACGTAGGTAGAAAATAAAATAAATCACGACATTTCTGCCTCAAAGAGTAGTTATAAACATGCGTTTAGAGTATTTGGCTGCTATACATTTCCACGTGATAAGCCAGTTATATAGCTCAGTGGGCCTTACCTGGAAAAAAAAATAGTTGAACAATTATAAATTGTATCTGTCGTTTTATTTGGTGGATTTTTGCGAAGCAATTGAAGAATGTTACATTAGACTCTCGATTAGATTTCCGCATGCGGTTTATCCGATTTGCACCTAATATTTTTACATAAATTAATAACTCATGGATTTTCCCTTAAGCCCAAATCAGTAATCTAAAAACAGTTATGCATTGTTATTCTTGGAAATGTTTATTACAAGTCACGTGCTGAAACCGAACAAATATGTGCTCCGGTTAATCCGAAATCCACGTGATCGCCTCTACAGCACAGTAGTTGCATATCTTTACAGCAGTGGGCGGAGTTTGGTTGATGTTGATTGGCGTGGCTCTGCTGTCCACTTAGTGGGCCGAGTCTTCGTCGCGGGAGCAGGAAAGTGTTATCACTCAGCAACTCAATTTTCTTAACTTAATTTATAATTTGTACCTATATTAGTGGTTTTTGGCATAAAGATCCGTGGAAAATAGTTCTATTTTTGGATTATCCGCGAGTTTTAATTATCCACGGTCTCGGTCTGATCAACGACAGCTGTCGAATTCCGGTAAAGTCCATTTCTGTGGATTTCATGTGGTCATTCTCCTCGTCTGATCGACTGAAGCAGTCAGACATTTAGTCACACCCCCCGACTTATTCAATACCATCAGGTCAGCCAATCGGTGAACCCAGTGCATCTTTTTATAGCCAATGATGGTTGCTGTCATTGGTCTTCGTCGGCGCCGCTGCTGTCTCTAAATAACGTCGATAAATGATCCCAAGTCTGCATCTTCGTTCGGTCTCGATAATCTCCCGCCGTCACGGCGAGTGGCGCGCCGTGGCCTGTGGCCGTCATCACGCGCCCCACGATTCTCATCCCACTCGTCGTCACTGTCGACGATGCGCTTTTAAATCGAGATTGAAAACTAATTCCTTTAGAACTGCTTTTTGTGTATAGTTTGTCGTCGTTCCCCGCAACTCCGATTAGCACGGTTGGCAACATACATGAAACTAAAATTAAATACAACTTTTTTTTAGATGTTTCCCCATCGCTCACAGCCTCAACCCAATAACCGTACGTGACTGCAAGATCCAGAAGGGTCAGAGTGTTATTCTGGCCGGGTGTGCTCCAGAAGCGGATCTGCGAGCTTCCCATGAGATAGAGAAACTAACGAAATATTTTTTTAACCAGTTAAGGCCCGCTGAGCTATATAGCTGTTTTTTCAAAAGCAACCTGGCTATCACAAATGATAGCTCAAGGAAGGGAAATACTCTGAACAAACGTCGATTGTAAATGCAGAGGGGAAAAAATGGTGACACAATTCACCGGGCACGGTAGAACTGAGACGTGAAACTAATTCTCGAATCGAATCTCAACTCCCAAACTTGACAATTCCACCACTCGTGGGGTTCGGTGGGAAAATTGTCATCGATGGAAGAAACGAAAACTAAACAATGTTATTAATTTCACCAGGTAAGGCCCACTGAGTTATATAGCTTCCTCAAAAGCGACCTGGCCACAAATAATAGCTCAACCAAGTGGAAATTTGTAGCAGCCAAATACCCTAAATGCGTGGTGGTGTTGATTCTAAATGTGGAGGGAAAAACCGGAGGACCCGGAGAAAAATCTGCGCGAGCACGGGGACAGAGACCACGCAAACTCCAAATATAGAGCAGGCGTCAGGGTCGGTAAGAACCCACGAACACCAGGTGAGAGAATTAACATCTTGCCACCGTGGCGAAGGTGGGAGGAGGGGGCTGTTGTAAAATTTCATGCGTTTTAAATCGGGCCCCACAGCAGGGCCAGCGCAAGGTGGGGGGGAGGGGGTGCTTGGGGTGGGCCTGCACCACCAAACGTCCCATTGGTACACCCGAGTTGATCTCCTTGGTGACGATTCACTGTTGTGGTGCCCCCCCACCCGATCCCCCAATCAATAGGAGCCTCAGCCAGCTCTGCCTTACATGAATACAAATACACATTCAATGTCCTTCCACAGCGAGATATCAATGACGTTATCATTTTTGGGGCATCAAGGGGATGCGACGGGGTTGATGTCCGCCTTGCCCTCCCTCCCCCGCGCTCCTGGCTTCGGCTCTCTACCGCCGTCGGCGTTATTCGAACGTCCCGGCTCACCAGGCTCTGCCGGGGGGGTGGCGGCCGGCCACCCCCGTCCGTTCGGCGGCTCCGTGGATTCCCCCCGCCGGTCACGGCCGGCGCCTCTGCCACCACAGCCACGTCCAGGTTCAAGTTTCACGAGAGAGCGGGAGGGGGGGGCAAGGGCTAGGCGTGGGAGAGGGGACGTGCGCTCAAGGCGAGCGCCGTAAAAATCAACAACGGGAAACAAAAAAAATGCCGTTGTGCATTCGCCCGCCGCAGGTTTTTTCGCGGTTGCGCCGCGGTGGCTCGGCACGGTGTCCCGACGTTTCTCTCCGCGTGCCAGGAGCCTTTTTAAGGAACAGAATATGAACGGACAGCGCTTGCGGCAGAGTGGTTCGTCGCTCGCAAGCCGGGGAACGCTGGCCGATGTGAAGCGAGGAGGCCTCTGTGCGATGGAAATGTTGGTCGTGCTGATACAGGTCCGAATCAGAATCTCAATTCATACCGGAGGAATCTGATGAGCTGTAAAGCTCTTTTGCACAGATGTCCAGTCGAAAAGGTGCAGCCTTGCAAATTGCTTTAATTTGCTCCACCTGCCGTTGGAAGGGCCACCACTATAGAGAGAGCTCCAGAGAGACCCTCTGGAGATGAATGCGGCCTACTCTTCCACGTAGGCCACGCTTTATCCCACCCACACGCTACCTTGCCCACCGACTAACTGTGGCGTAACCATCCACACCGAGGTGGTGATGCGGCCATGAACACAAGCTGTGCTACTGTTTCAACCGCCACGCCGGCGACCTCTGGATTGCAAGTCCGTCACACCACGGCGGCGTCCGGCGCCTTGGCTCGCGTAAAACAAAAACGTTCCCGCGAGCATTACGCAACTTGCTCGCAAAGTTGTCTCCCACCCCCCCCTGATCTCCCTTGCAATCGAGACGTCGCAGCCTCACCGGGTTTCACCGGGCCGTTTTTCTTCGTTTTCTTTACTACACAACCCAGCGCCAACCCAGTACAAAGCACCGGCCATGACGAGAGAGCGGAGGAGCAACAGAAACGTCCGCGGACAAAAGCTCCGGGTCGGCGGTGCTCCAGGGTTTAAAAGAGGAGGGCCGGGAGGGGGGGGGGCAACACCGGGCCCTTCTGATGTGACTCTGCCACCGACATTCCCGTCGTCGCACCAGCGAACGGTGCTGCCGGCTTTTGTTTCGCGTGTGAGCTCAGCAGAGATACAAGTCAGAAGCCAAACGAAAACCAGCAAGCATCCCCCTCTCTCTCTCTCTGCTTGTTGGAGTAAAGGGGACGGGGCGAAGCTCCGGAAAGATAGATTCTCACAAAACGACGGACTGCACGACAAACGGCGGACGTCTATTCATTTAATGGATGGCGTGCGGGGGGGGGGGGGGGGTGGAGAGCTGCCACCTTGCGATACGTCAGCAGTGATTGTTCATTGGGATAACTGACCCCCGGCATAGGAATATGGAATTTCCACCACCGGCTCGGGGCTGTAAACAAACGAGAGATGGGTGCTTCTTTGCGAAGGCAGCCACACGGACTTTGAGATGTCGAAATAGAGGTGTGCAAGAATAAATGTGTGCATTCATATTAATACACGTAGCTATTTAAATAAGAGGGCAGTCGGGCATGAAGACTGAACGTGCGTGCGACGCTCTGACAGCCGCAGAGTCGCGTGGAAATGCAACCAAAATGACAGCCGAACCGGGACTTTTGATAAAACACATTTGGTGGGGCCACACATCGACACGCACCTTGGCGTTGTCCGACAACGAGGCGAAGGATCACGTGTAATGACCACGTTGACAGAGGCCCTTGACAGAAGTGAGTGAACGCGCTAACAGTAGGCACACAGTGTCACCAGGTCGAAGTATCCCCCACCACGTGCCCGATGAGCACGGCCAAGACGCTTGCGGTGAGTGATGAATAGATATATATAATTTGCGGCCCATTGCTAAGTGGTCGGCTTCACGAGGTAGTGTCAGGGGTAAGGTCACAAGTAGGGTCAGGGTCAGGGGTAGGATCAGGGCCAGAGTCATAGATGGGAGAGGATGAGAGAGATCAGGAGAGGAGGGAAGATATAAGGAGAGGGAGGGAGAAATCAAGATAGCACGAGAGAGATCAGGAGATGGAGGGAGAGATCAGGAGAGGATGGGGTTGGGGGGGCCACCGACCTGCGTGGCCGCGTGCGTGACGAGCACATCTCGTTGCCGAGCACGTGGAAGCGCCGCGCCTCGTGCAGCAGGCCGTAGCACTCGGGCGCCGAGCGCACCATCTCCTCGCCCTCCACCGTCTGCACGAAGTAGTCGGGCTGAAGCAGCGGCAGGCGCACGTTGTCGAGGACGTCGCGCAGGGCGCTGCGCCGTTCCACCGCGTTGTGTTGCACCCAGCGCATCACCGCCTGCGCGAGCGAGCGTGCGGGAGCGCGAGCGAGCGGAGGGGGCGACGTCACGACGGGTAGGGACAGAAGAGCGATAGTCAGCGGGCGCGGTCCGCGTGGTTATCGGCACCCTCACCGTTTGTTATCATCATCATTATCATCATTTCTTTAGAACTGCTTTTTGCGTGTTAGTTTGTTGTCCTTCCCCCGCACCACCGATTAGCACGGTTGGCTACGTACGGTACAAAAGAAGTTCAACGTACGTACGTACACACACGTTTGCCAAATTTGGCTACATTGCACCGCAAATTACGCAACTGGAATTGCATTCGGCAGCCATCGCCGCGACTCCTAAAACCTGGCAGGATCCCTCCTGTAAAAGAATTACGTGACTCTGTGTGAGGCTTTCCTGGGTCGATGAGCGGAATAAATAAATAAGAATAAATAAACAACACGTGGATTGACCACGGCTGACGGCGGCGGATGGCATACAGAGCCAACGCTGACCCGCCCCTACTGGGCATCTGTGTAAAAGAGCTTCATAGCTCCTCGGATTCCTCCAGATTCTGATTCTGATCATTTGTGATAGCGTGTGCATTTGTGCGGGTGGTGGGGAGCGGTGGCGCAGCGGTTAGCACGCCGCGCTTTGAACCTGGAGGGCCGAGTTCCATTCATGGCCAACACCAGTGATGGTCATCTGAACTGGTCATGGGCCTACCCTAGATCAACTCAGCCTTAAAATGAGGTCTGGGCATGATGTTGGCTACCCACCCACTAATGTACCATTTCGGCCTTCATAGGTGCTACTCGCTAACAGCAGTTGCCGCAACAGTCTGTGATAGTGTGCGTATTTGTGATGATAGTATGCGTTTTGTGTTTTGGGTGTGTGTATTTGTGATCATAGTGTGCGTATTTGTGATCATAGTGTGTGTATTTGTGATCATAGCCTGTGTATTTGTGATGATAGCGTGCGTATTTTCGATCATCGCGTGTGTTTTTGTTGCGTGCGATGGGTGCCGGGGAACGGCGGCGCAGTGGGCCAAGCGGCGAGCGTCACCTCGAAGACGGTCTCCTCCTTGTCCACGACCAGCTCGTCGTTGGAGACGTAGTCTACGAGCTCGTCCTTGGGCAGCTCGAGGAACTCCTGGTGCTGCACCACCTCGCAGAAGCGTTGCAGCGCAAACGCCGCGCACTTGCTGTGCAGCGACTGCAGGGAGTGCGCGTCGGCAAACCGCTGCAGTCCCAGCACGTTGCACGGGTCCAGCTGCTCCTCCAGGAACTTGGCGCAGGCGGAGCGCAGCGCGTGGATCTGCCACGAGCGAGGAGCCGGCCGGCCATCAATAATTCGTCACTCGTTTTATTTTTTTTCCACTGGCGCAAACAGAGCCGTGCCGAGCCACCGGCCCACGTCGTTTTTTTTCCCCGCCGTGGAAGCCGCCCTGCCGCTCTGTCGCCGAGCGCGGTGAACGATGCCAGACGCGGCTAGTGATGCAGCGACGCTGCAAGGCATTTACAAACTGGTGGTCGGAAAATAATTTGCTCCCCTTATCTGGGTGCACCCACTGGTTATAAAAATACTAAAAATAATAACTTTTAGCATTTGGTGTTAGCGCCGATCTTGTAGCGGCATGGCCGTCACGAAGGCGAAACGTTTCAAAGCCATCGACATAGCTCAGTGGGCCTTACCTGGTAAAGTAAAAACTAGTTTTTTATATAATTGGTTTATATTAATATTATTTTATTATTTCCCTTCTACGTGACTTTACCGAAAGAACCAAGAATATGAATCCGTGCAGTCACGAAAGCTTTAAATAATTTATTTTTTACTTTAGTTGCACAGGAGGAGATGATGTTTCTGTGTGTGTAATCCACACAGTGTAGTTTGCGGTGTCATTTATCGGAATTTGCACAAATGTTGACGATGTACGTATGCACGTTGAACTTCTCTTGTCGCGGTAATCGAAGGTGCGGGGGGGTGGGAGGGAAGGACAACAAACCAAACACAACACCTCAGTTGTAAACAAATGAGCTTTCAAGTTAAATAACCGTGCCACGGCCGCTGCCGTTCTGCGGGGGTTAACGCGCCAGCCTGGGGGGGAAGGGGGGCAGGCGGGGTGGGAGGGGCGCCACCTGCACCTGGAAGAGGCTGGCGGTCTCGAAGAGGTACTGCACGTTGTCGGTGGTGATGCGTGCGCGGCCCGTGTACATGTACTGCAGCAGCTGCTCCATGGCGGACGCCTGGATGCCGTTGATCTCGACGATGGTGGCGCGGCTCTCGCGGTGGTCGTTGCAGAACATGGCGCGGAAGTATGCGGAGCAGGCGGAGAGGACGGCGCGGTGGCACGGGAACTCGCAGCCCTCAACCGCCACCATCACGTCAGTGAATATGCGATCCTACGGGCGGCGCAGGGAGGGCAGGGGCGGAGGGGGTCAGCACCGCTGTTATCTCGACGACGATGAGGCAAGTAAGCCGCCAGCGAAAAATAAAACAGAACTTTCGTTTTCTTTTCACGTTAAGTTTATTTTACGTTTTGCATGTATGTACGAAGAACTTTGGAACATAAGAATAACGTTTTACCCTTTCACCAATAGAAACCTTTTGCCAGGAACAAGTTCGCATTAACCAAACGTAGTTGTGGTGAACACCTGTATAATTGCCATAAAGGGTAAAACCTATTCTTACTTTTCAAACCTTGATACTGGCAAAAAGGTCCCATGATAGGTTGAACTTTGTTCACACCATACGTTGTATTTACTATATAGTATGTATTACAGTATTACATGCAAATGTTCAATATTTCTTCTTATTTACGATTTTCAACTAGAACCAAAAAACCTTTTTTATTTTTATTTGACCAGGTAAGGCCCACTGGGCGACGTAGCCTTTTCAGAAGTGTCAAAAGATAGCTCAACGAAGTGGCTCATACCACGTGGAAATTTATAGCAGCCAAATACTCTGAACGCATGACGTTGATTCTAAATGCGGAGGGGAAAAAAAACCGGAGGACCATCGAAGAGGGGTCCCTCTTAGTCACATTCGCTTCACCGTCGTAGTCATCGTAGTCGGCCATGATCAATCCACTGCTGGTGAAGGCGTTCCCCAAGCCATCGCCAATTCACGACGGTCCCACGGCGCAGCCTTCCACTCATCTCCATCGATTTGATCGCTCCATCTCTCACCCCCCTACCGCTCCCCGGCGGACGTTCCCTCGGGCAAGTTGCTCCGCTGCGCTTTACCCTGGCCGTGTCAGGATCCTGCAACGCCCGTTGCCTCACAGCAGGGCGACCAAAAGGTCCGGTGAGTGGGCCTCGTGTGCCGACGTCACGGCCCAAATCATGTGCAGGTTATTTCATTGGGTAACGCCAAATAACAACATCAGCCCCCCCCGCCCCCCCTACCGGGAACATACTGCGGACGACACCCGTCGGCGGAACACAGCGCCTTCGCGTGAAGACAGCCTTTGCGCTACGATAACGGCGCGTGGGATCGTAGCCATTGGGGACGTGTGGGCTGCGTGGTTGCTCCGAACCACGCGACCCAGAGAGACCCGGGTTGCCAGGCTATGAAGGGGATTAAGGAAGGCGTGTGGGTGGGGGACAAGCCCTGGTGGTTGACCAGGGGGGGCGGGGGGGGGGGCCCGGGCAGTGCCGACTTTAGACCTCGGCAACGTAGGCATTTGCCGAGGGCGGTGACAGATTGCCGGGACTCTGGAGGGGGCGGCGGGTGTCGGGTTCTGCGGCCGGGCGGCCGTGATCGGTGGGTGTGCGAACCGCTGATGCCTCGGCCACATCGCTGGAGATGCCCGTGCGCGTGCGAGCGTGTGAAACGCGCTATCGGCCGGAGGGGGGGGACAAAACACAGTGCCCCCCTCGCCCCCCCCCCCCCCCATTTCATTCCTTGCACCAGGTCCCCATGCCAACCGCACTACGCTCTGCCACTGCTGCGCTTCAGCCACGGGTGCTTGGCTACAACCACGGGACAATTTACCGGGGCCGAGATATCTCGATGTCGCACGGTGGCTAGGAGATGTTAACTGCCTCGCCTGGTATGCAGGAGGTCGTGGGTTCGATGCCGACCCTGACGCCTGCTGCCGTATATTTGGAGTTTGCGTGTTTGCCCCCTTGTGGTCGCGTGGATTTTTCTCCGGTTTCTCTGGTTTTTCCTTCCACATTTAGAACCAACACGTGTTCAGAGTATTTGGCTGCTTTACATTTACACGTGATAAGCCACTTCGTTGAGCTATCATTTGTGGCCAGGTCGCTTCTGAAAAAAAATTACATAGCTCAGTGGGTCTTAGCTGGTAAAAGAAAAACTTGGCGAGTTTTAGATTCTTCCATCGATTCTGACACGCACGTTCAGATGCATGCATCGTGAGCGTGCTAATCGATTGCAATCAACAAAGTGGAGGACACATACTCCCGCACAGAGCCCACTGATGACCCCCCTGGTTAACCACTGACATTAACCCATGACCTCCCAAGCCATAATCTTGGTACACAGCATGCTGGGACATAGTGGTGGCTCTAAGCAAAATAATAAATTCACCCCCCCTGCCTCCTCTCTCTCCCACCCTCCACCTTTCAATTCGTAAATTCATAGTGAGATGACACACGAGAGATGCAGACGAGAGATGTAGGGAGAGGAGGAAAAGAAGACAAACACAAAGACGGAGTGAGATGAGAGGAATAGTGTAGATCGGGCAGACGTGAAAGATGTTGTTTACGAGCGTTAGCTTGTTGTGTGTGTTAGGGTTTGAACTACGGCTGATATTTGTATGCACCCCTATTCTTGCATGAATCCTGGGACCCGCGAATGGCCCATCCGTTGCCCTGAGCTCTTGCTTGGTTTGCTTGTGCTTAGCGCTGCCGCTTGTGCATTACAGAACCTTTCAGACAAACAGAAGACCACGGCCATGAACCTACACATACAGATTGAATTAGCCTTATAAGTGACCAAGTAGGAGCCAATACTATCAGTGTATAGTACAACCATATAATCCATAACGGTCAAAGGTTAAGCTGCGTGCCCTTAAGCATGCAGCTCACTGATTTACGCACACATAAAGCGCCCAAATGCTCCAAAGCCAACTCCAGTCCTTGCGACCCATCATCTGTGCCCGATGTTGTATCAGCGCTTGAACGTGTGGGTTATTTTTTTATTCATTTGAAAATAGGGCCTAAATATATTAATTTTGAATGATATGAAACCCCCCCCTCCCTTGGATTTGGTTTTATTTGCGAAGTGATGTCACAGGAAGCGACAGGGGCGCCACGATGGCTAGGAGATGTTAACTACCTCGCCTGTATATTTGGAGTCTTCCTGTCTCTCTCTCTCTTCCCGTGGTCGCGTAAATTTTCTCCGGGTCCTTCGGTTTTCCCCTCCACATTTAGAATCGACGTGCGTTCATAAAGTATTTGGCCGCTATACAATTCCACGTGATAAGCCACTTTGCCGAGCTATCAACTGTGATTCTAGATTTGAAGCTTTCGTGACTGCAAGGGTTCATATTCTTAGGTTTTTTCGGTAAAGTTACGTAGGTACAAAATTTAATAAAAATTAATAAAATTAATAAAAGTAAAATAAAAATAATCATTTTACTTTTATTAACTTAAATTTAAAAAATGTACCTATCAACTGTGGCCAGTTCGCCTCTAAAAAAAAGAGCAATATAGCTCAGTGGAGCCTTACCTGGCAAAATAAAAATAGTTTAGTTTACGTTTCATTAAGGCCATGACAGGAAGTGACGTCGCCCACGGCGTATCCCCGCGGCAGGAAGTGAGGTCGACGCTCGACACGAGGACGGCGGCGCTCACCTTCAGGCGGAACTCATTGAGGGCGGCGAGAACTCCCTCGGCGTGGGGGCTTCCGGCGGAGAATTCGAGCAGCTCGCTGGCGGCCGTGCCGCCGGGCGTCTTCGACTCGAGGTTGAGCACCTTGCGCTTGCTGGCGGGGGACTCGCGCACGCTCTCGCCCGCCCCGGCGCGCGCGTTGCGCCGGCCCAGGATGAGCACCATCGTCGCGGCCACTGGCGAGTGTCGCCGTCGGACGTCGCACAGGATCGAGCGCGCAGTCGTAGTGGTGGCGGTGGCCTTCTCCCTGAGGGTGGACAGCGAGGCACGCACGTGGCTCACGTGTTGCACGTGCACAGCACGCGTTCAATGTCACGCATGTATCTACGTGCCATTGTCGTGTGTATGGGCAGTCCCCGAGATACGGACATCCGACTTACGACATCTGCACTTGTGAACCAAGTGCCCTAAGATGATATTTTTTAACCATCCGACTTGTGAACATTCGGTCGTACGAACTGCGGAACTATTTTGTTTGGCGGAACAATTCTCCGTGAGATGTAATTAGTCCCATCATCCTGTGTAATGAGTTCCAGTGTAAGCCAGCATCAGGACTTTATTTAATGTTTTACTTACGAGACAGTATTTTCTACAGTACTGCATGAAAATGTAAAATATTTCGTCTTATTTATGAGTTTAACAAAGCTTTTCTTCTTTGTTGAACCGTAACACATTTTATATATATAAATACAATTGATGATTGAGTTCTGAGATACAAACAAATCGACTTACGAATGGGTCTCAGGTAATCCGTTCACAAGTGGAGGACTGCCCATAAAAAAAGATCCCCTGTATAGCCTTATAAGACTGTTGGGGCAAGTGCTGTTCACCAGCACCTATGAAGGCCGACACTGCACACGAGGGGGTGGGTGGCCAGCACCATGCCCGGCCACCTTTGTCTCCCGAGTGGCGATATTTACACACAGCACCAGGTACTCATTTGATGCCGAGTCGACCTAGGGGAGGCCCAGGACCGGTTTCAGATAATCGTTACTGGTGTCGACTGTGAGCGGGAATGGAACTCGGGTCGCCAGGTTCGTAGCGCAGCGTGCCAACCGCTACACTACCGCTCCCCACGTATAAAACTACACACACGCACACACACACGGTGACGTGCAGATTATATCGAGCGATCCTCGCGCCTCTGCACCCCCCACGTGACCGTCACGGCGTTGGCGTCGCGCGTCGCGGCGTCGGTCGCAGCGTCGGTCACAGCGAGATGGATGAGGAGGGCCCCGGGTGTTCACCACCATCTTGGCTGCCATGGCCTCAACAGCTTCAAGATTTTTTCGACGATTATGAATATTTTTCTTCTCCAAAACCCTTTGTCTTTAACATGACAGTATTTTGCATTTCTTTGGAAGAGCGGTAATTTTTTTGTCTCTCTTTTTGCTCTGTTATTGCCGTACTTTGTATCGTGTTATTGCGGCGGTTGCTGCACTGGTGGGTGACCCCAGGTCACCCGCCCTGGCAAATGAGACCCATCCTGGTACCTTGCGTTCTCACTTGGTTCAATCAGAATATGCCCGAAACGTAACCCCAATATTCCACCACGTCATTCAAAACCATGGTGCTGTCGAGTTGAATTTTTTTTAAGAATGCATGTCCTGGAAATACTGGGCGAATAAAGGGATGGGACACCCCAGTCTATCCGTTTTCCGTGCAAAACCCTCATTATTTCCATGCAGACCATAATTAAGCCATATATAGTACCATTTTTTTTTTACTATAAAAATGAATCTATTTAAAAAACCAACCAACCAAAACAAAAAAACACAACTGAATTCTGGAAGGACGAATCCACTTTTGCATTCGTCACTGCGCAGTCCAGGACTAAACTGGGACGACGCTGGCGCGTGATGTTTCTGCGCCGCTTGGAGACACGGCAAACAGCACCGACAGCTTTGCTTTGGCACGCGCGACCGTATTTTTAGAAAAGGCACAGAAAGACGCGCAAAAAACCACTCGGGCCCCTGTGCACTACGCCAAAAAAAACCCATCGGCATTTCCTGAAGAACTGCATTGTGGTCCTCTTGTCCGAGGTCAACATCAAATACTATTTGAGCGATTGAGACCGACGGACAGGCAGCAGTGATATGGCGAAGGACAACTGTGGACCGTTTTGTCCTCATCGGCGCGGAATAGTCACCAGTGCCCACTGCTGGAAAGTCTGCCTGTGGGAACCATACATAATAATAATAATTAACATTTATTTGTAGGACGCCTTCCACTAATATCCCAATGTGCTCGTGGGCCTATGACGCTTTTCCTTCTGTAGAATAATTTTAAGGATATTTTTTCTCTTTATTTTTTCAATGATGCCTCTTCCCACCCTGAGAAACCCCATTATATTAGGGGGGGCACGGTAGACCCCACACGAACGATATTCCGAGGACCCTCAATACCTTAACGGGCACCGCCGTATATAACGATGCCCATTGTCGCACGAACAACGCGTGGAGGGACGCCCCACCCCCCCGCATGAAGCGAGCCAAGCGGCTGATAACGCAGCGCATTCTCACGCGGGTATTTCAAGAGTCGTTAATAAGTCAGACGCCGACAACACTCTGTAACGCCTCGCTGTCAGCTGGCGGCGTGGGTGACTCGCATTAAATGCCGCGAGTCCCCCGAGGGAGGCATGGCCGACAACACCTGGGAATGACAGTGACCGCCTCGGGCTGAAATTCACGATGCGGTGATGCGCATTACATCACCCCCCCCACCGCCGTGGCGACTTCGGCAAAGCGGCTGCCGAACTACTGACTGCGCGCAATCACCATGCGCTCGCTGCCGTGCACAACGAAGCCACAGCGTCGTTGTACACACAACCTCCGATGGGCCACGGTTGCCTACGTACGGTGCGAAAGAAGTTCAACGTACGTACGTACAGGGCCGCATTAGAATGTTTACAGTGGAGGAATCCAATGAGCTATAAAGCTCTTTTTCACAGAAGTGCCATTAACGGCTGGGTCAATGCCGACCGAACCGCCGAGTATCAGGTACAGGGCGGCACGTTTATAGAGACCCCCACTGCTGCAGGGAAAACGACGCTGTAGTTTAAAAAGCCTCTCCCCCTTTCTCCCACCAATCTCTATGCACGTGAACACTACCCCCTTGTGCAGAGGTCACCCTATCAAGCGCTCTCCAGGCTCTACCCTGCTGACTTCGAGAAATACGATGACACCTGGGCGATTTGGTCAGCATTGTGATCGGCGCCCGAAAACACGACAAGAGCATTTCAAGTCCTGACTCCTGTGTCCCAGCCCGCAGGTAAAACAAAACACACAAAAAGTCCCCTTCTGATACGGAGGCGTGAACCCACACCCGACGGCGTGGAGGCGTCGTGAGCACAAAACCAGCGAGCCTCCGGCGTCACGCTCGGCTGGAAGCCGACTTTCCGGGAACCGTCCCGGAAGACGGGCCGACAAAGTGAACTCGAGGACGAGCGGCGTCCCGCGACGTCGCCGGTGCGAGGCGGCGAGCGACCGCTCCGGTCGTCCGGAGGGCGACCGACCGTCCCACCACCCCGCCGCCGCTTCTCGCTCGCGGTGTTGCGCGGCGTTGCGCTCGGCAAGGGGAATGTAAACGTGGAAGGAAAAACCCGGAGGAAAATCCACGCGACCATAGGGATGGAAATTAACCCACAACCTCCTGTACACCAGGCGAGGTAGTTAACATCTCGCCACCGTGGCACCCTCTAAACAGTCTTGACCGCCCCCCCACCCCCAGCAACTCTCCTGAAATCCCGCCACCCTTTCTTTTAAATCTAGATCGATAACTAATTTCTTTACAAATGCTTTTCGTGTTTAGCTTGTTGTCTCTCCACCGCACCTCCGATTCGCACGCTTGGCTGCATGCCGTGCCAATTAAGTTGAACGTACGTACAAGAGAGCAGAACAAATGATGGGAGCACACGGGCAGCTGCTGCCTGTCCAGTGAGGCTGTTTAGCGGTGGCAGCACCACAGAAATCCACCAGCTCACAGCCAGCATGCCCTTGAACGGCTTAAAGAACCCGGGCAATGATTTCTAACTTTAGTTGCCATTGCGAAACTAAGTTGCTTATCTCTGCAACGTATCATACGAGTGGAGAAAAGGGTGACGTGCCTTCCAGAACATATAGGTCAATAGTAAAAACGAAAGTCAAGGCAATAATATTTTGTCTGTATCGTTCATGAATAAAATGCGACTGTGTAAGGTTGTCGCGGTTGTGCTGTAGAGATGCTTGCGGCTTGCACGCCGCGTTGTCAGGAATGATGTCCGGCGTGTCGATCCACGCTCTGGAAGCTTCTTCGGGAACTTGACCACCACAACGAGACGTCGGTAACGAGACGGATACCTCTCGGCGGCCGATCAAACCGCTCGCACGCGACCGTTGTCCTTCCCCCGCGCCTCCGATCGGCACGGTTGGCTACGTGTGGCGTGAAAAAAGTTCAACGTGCATCGAGTGGCAGCGTCGCTGTTCTCGTCAAGGTGCACGAACTATCATCACGAGGACGCTGGTCATCCTCGCAAGCAGCGGCTTCTGGCTGGCCGTCGAACAAAGACGGTCACCGCATCGCTCACTTTCAGACGCGCTTCTGCGGCCGTCTGGAACGCTCTTCCTTCCGAATATTAGGAAGCCACTGGGAGCTATGCACTTTGAAATATCTGCTTTTAGGGTTTTTTGTTGTTGTTGTCTTTCCCCCCGTGCCTCCGATTAGCACGGTTGGCTACGTACGGCGGTGCGAAAGAAGTTCACTGTACACACACATACAGAGGTTGGGAATTCTATCCCGGCAGAAGCGGGCCTCCCTTGGGCTGCATGTACTGTCCAAGTCTCAGGCGTTCATCGGCTTCCAGTTGGGGAAATATTAAGAGGATGCTGCGTCTTTTGGTTGTGGTGTAGGGTTCAGAGTTATGGGTCAGGATTAGTTGGGGATTAGGGTTAGGAATTAGGGATTATGGTAGGCGTTTATGATTAGGGTTTAGTTTTAGGGGGTAGGGTTTAGGATTTGGTTTAGTGTTAGGGATTAGGGTTGGTGTTATCTTGTTAGGAACAGTAGAAACCTAAGACTTTCTCTCCGATGACTTTGGTTTTCGGGTCGCACACTGCACGCTCATTGTTCGGCATGATGTCCGATGTTTCGTTCAATGTGCCGGGAGCTTTTTCAGGAAAGCATCGGAGAACGCCAACACATCAAAACACCTGTGCAATCGTCGCTGGCACGGGGCGAAGCATTCGTCTCGGTCAAAATCTCAGAAGCTCG